ANNCNNNTCGATTCGGGATAGGGTTTGAGGCTCGGAGTCGGCTACTGTATAGGCGGTTGCGCAGTTTCGGTAGTGGGTTCTCGGGCTGGGTCTCTTTCTTGTTTTGATTGCTCTCTGTTGGTTGGGTCTGCTCGTTAGTTGGATGGGTTTGGGGATAGGGTTATCGCCAGAGGCCTTGTCTTTCAATATTTTTCTAGTTTATTTTATTTTATTATTGTTATTATTTTTTTATTTTTTTTTTTGACCAAAGCTTAAAGAGATAAGCCCGTGGAGAAAAAAATGTTATGTGGAGTTGGGAGGGTTTTATATCAAATGAAATAGTAGTAGTACAAAATTTTGTTGGCCTTTGTTCATATATATTTTCTATTTTAAATTTTTCTTTTTTTTTTCTTTTATAAATTTTTTTAGTTTATTTTTAGTTTATCTAGTTTATTACATTATCGCTATAATTTTAGTTTATCTTAAATATATTATCTATTTTTATGAATAGATATATTTTCTACTTTAGATCTATTTTCTTTTTAAATCTATCACCTTTTTTTTTTCATAAAGTTTTTTAGTTTATTTTAAGTTTATCTTAAGTTTATTACATTATCTCTATTTTTAAGTTTATTATCTATTTTTTTTACTATATCTTAAGTTTATCTTAAGCTTATTTTAAATTTATTGTATTTTTTTTTACCTTATCTTAAGTTTATCTTCAGTTTATTATCTATTTATTTAACTATATCACGAAAAACAAATTGAGAAACAAATCATATGAAAAATGAGACATTATATAAACTACAAAAAAAAATAAAAAAATAAAAAAAATCAAACCATCAGTAAACATTTTCAAAATACAAATATATTACATACCAATATACAAAGTTACAAACCCCATAAAAACTCATAGAAACTCTTATATTGTTTCACTGCCTAAAAGCATAGCCACCCCCTGCATACTGAAACTCGAACATGTATCTCCTGACCCAAAATCTCTACTCATGCAGACGAACTCAATCACGACTTTTTTCATAGTCGGCCTATTCATTGACGGCACGCTAAGCACTTCTTGAAAAAAAATCATAAGTGCACGGTATTTTTCTTCACTTCAAGAACATGTCAGAGACACAGTTGATGTATCACTCGAGGCTCTGCAAAGTGATTAGGGAGCTGAGTGTATATCTTTGCCTGAATATTTGCAGCAGAATGGAATTCTACAAAAAATATCATGTTCACTGTTGATACCCAATTTGGCTCCAATTAAATAACTGATAAATAAAATAATAAAATACGGCCCGACAACCAAGAAGCCAGAAATATGTGATAAATAAATATACAAACAGGTTCTCGAGACCGATCACCTAAAAATTGATCGGGTTCCCAGATATCGAGTCCGCCAGCTACCGAGCCGGGTCGAATTCAGAGCCGGCAAGAGTTATCAGCGGGCCCCACGATAATTATCTCACATTAAATAATGATGTATTATCTCTTGTTCATTTAATCACCCACTTGTGAGGAATGTGGGGTGTATATATATGAGAGGGAGATGATAGAGAAAGGGGGATTTTTTCCTTTCTTTCACCATTCATCTCCTTCCTCATAACAACATAAGAGAGAGGGTAGGGGTGGTTGGATGAGCTCTCTCCATTTTTTCACCTTCTTCCAAGAAACATAAGAAATAAACACCCATTTCCATCTATTTTGTTCTTCATTTTTTCATATATAAATTCGAATTATGTTTGACGGTTGATCGTCCGATTTTCGACATCAACAGTTTGGCGCTAGAAGGAGGGCTCCGTAATTTGCTCGGAGTTAATTTTCGCCGGAAAACAGCCACGTCTCAACCGGAAAACACATTTTCCACTAAGTTTGTATTTCATGATTTCATCTTAATTTTCTCTACATTTGTTTCTCCCATGTCCATGGATATATATCTCTGCATTATGTATATGTTCAT